AAGATGAAAGCTAACTTGGTTACATTATACCCAGGCAAGCCCTGGCGCATAACCCCTATTATTCTATACTATATTTTATGCTTGTGCATTAAGTTTAAGGAGTTGAATAAAACCCACTTGCATATATATATATATATATATATCTTTATCCTATGAGTCTTACTAGTATGACAGGATCGTGTAGATTGCTATGCTACAGGACTCCGGTAGAAGTCGAGTGATTGCCTGTCACTCGCGAGAGATAGGAAAGATATTATTGTTGTTATTATATTACTATCATATGGAATATATATGAATGATAATTAGAGACCGGACAGAATGGTACTTTGGATTTGAACTTGGTTTGACATTCGAGCGAGATTCGGATTGCACTTGTTCCTCCTGTGTCGGTTAAGGACAGTCCGTTGTATTGGATTCTAGTCAAGTCACAGACTTATTATCCTAGGCACATACTTTCTTATAGGGACGGGAAGGCTCGTTGCTCTCTTATCGTGGGTTCCGGCTCTTTCTGGACCGATTGATTAGAGGGGGGATGGTGGAGGTCTAAGCACCACACTAAGTCTGGGACTCAGGTGTGGGAGCTTGGAGTCCAAGTTTGGACAGGGACCTGGACCCCTTAATAAGAGAGTGGTGGTTTGGTCCAACTTGTGCCTGGAGTACAAGCAGGGCGTGTGTTTTAGGATACCCAGCTGGGATACATTGGTTCGCGAATCATCGTGTGATACGGTACGGCTTGGCTACGATCTAGCACGGTAGTAAGAACTAGAATATAAAAGATGGTAAAATGGTTCTGATTGCTTACCACCTACTTGAAAGTAGCACAGGTGCTTACATAAAATGGTTAGTTAATGAACTAATGATGACTGCTAATGAAATAGAATATAAGGATGCACGCTTAGTAATAATTCCTACAGATGCAATAAAACCACAAGCCAGATAGCCTTGCATATCCTTAGAGTCTTTTCTTTTCTCCTGACGGGTAAGTCTTGCGGAGTACAATTGAGTACTCAGGGTTTGTTCTACCCTGTTGCAGGTGACAGGAATATATGGAGCTGACACTTGTGTGTGGAAACCTCCTGATGGGCTCAGCGAGGATTTCCTTAACGTTGTGGGCACGGAGTTTATTTAAAACTTCCACCTAAAATGTTTTACAATGGAAAAACTTATAATCTGTTATGATGTATATAACGGGTCATCATGTTAATGTTTAACTTGTCATTAAATGATTTTATTTTCGCTAAAACTCTGATAGCATGGTTACATTTCGCTGTTATAAACAATAAATATTATACTCCGATGTTGCATGAAAAGTGATGTAAGAAATGTCTAAAATGTTGTAAGCTTTATTCTCCCATTTATGATCCTGTTGAAAAATGTGGATTTTCGGATTCTCCAATGGGGTGTACTCGACAGAACTGCCTGATGTAGCTCAACTTTGAGGTGCTTAGTGTCTAGTGGAAGACAAGTGTCTTCGTAAGTGTGTTATTTCGGACGATTCTACCACAAATATTTTCTAAAAAATATTATAGATCCATCAATGATTATCATTAGAATTTACCAGATTGATTGAGAATTACACTTGTCTAGTGGTGGTCTAATAATAACGAATGCATGTGGCTTAAATAAGAGCCTCTAAATCTTTGACTAATAATAGTAGTAAGCTACAAAGATTGGTTGTTAACGACATAAAGCTAAGAATTAAGGAATAATCTCTACAGTATATCTTATAATCTTAAATCTCATTAGAGTTCAATCTCAACGTGCAAGTTGTTCACCTCAGTCATTTATAGCCCACTAGCATTTACAATTATGATTATACATCAGCAAGACACATCATCCGCTAACATATATTTAGTTATCTACATCAGCATGCAACGTCATCTACTAACATTAATTTATAATTTGTTATCCTTCTGTATAAGTAACTATATATAATCTAATTTTATTCTAAATCATTAATAATTTCTGCGGTAATGCGTGGGTACACTTCTAGTTTCTTTAAAAATATATGAAATTTCAGTTTTGGAACCGTTAGCTTTTAGACGTCGAGTCTCATGCTCTAGCTCTAGTGACGAGTTTCATGCCACGGGAGGGCCGTGTTTGGGAGCACCCGGACCAGACATGCCACACCCTTATCTCAAGGGACACAGTTAACGCGCAACCCATCGTGTGTAACGACGAGCGCGTGACCCTGGCCGGGCCCCCTCCGCCCGCTCACGCACGTGATCAATGCTGGTCCCTAGGGCTGGACATAGAACGAGCTCGGTTCGGCTCGGTCCAGCTTGAGTTGGTTTATTAGACTAACGAGTCAGCTCGGCTAGGCTCGGCTCGTTAATATTATGAGCTAGAGGGGTGGCTCAGCTCGGCTCGTTAGCGAGTTCGAGCTGCCTCGTTTATCTCGCGAGTTATAAAAAAATATGACTCACATATTTATAATGTTCATGCCACAATAATTCTCGAAGGTGACGTCCACCATTATGCAACCATACATGATTAATACATATCAAGTTCATCAAAAGTATCAACCATATAACAAAGGCCACGTTCGCTTCGCTGAAAAAACAAGCCGAAACATTGTTCAGGCTGATTTGTTGTGAGAAAAAAAACACTGTTCTGGCTAAAAAAACAAGCTGAAAAAAACGAATTATAAGAGAAGCGAACATGGTCATAGCTGGTACATCCATGATTCATGCAGTTCCAGCATACTTACTAGTTGCTTGTCACCACAGACTTAGGAAAGTTCACAAATTCAATGTCAGTGTCATCGTCTTCTCCCTGGAAAACAATCCATAAATCAACATTTAAGTACCACAACAATTATAAAATCAAAATTCATATGAAACAGCTGAAAATAAGAATTACATATCAATGGAATAGATATACACTTTTAGGTCAGCATCATCATCTTCTGGATTAATGGTCGTGGATTGCTAGGTCTCAGCTCGTTTGAGCTTGTGAGCAGCTCACGAGCTGGCTCGTTAAAACAGCGAGCTAGATTTCAAGCTCAGCTCATAAAAAAGTTAAAACGAGCCGAGACGAGCCGGACACGAGTCGAGCGAGTTGACGATTTTGTCCAGCCCTAGTCCCTCCTCCTCCGCCCAGCACCACTCCATCCCACTCACGTCTCCTGCTCCAGTTGTATTGCATGCAAGCTGATGAGCTGACTTGAGAAAAACAAAACTTTTTTTAATTGCTATAACTTTTGAACGGTGTATTCGTTTTTTATTTCGTTTGCACCGGTATGTTTTACATGACGATACGAACAAAACTAGACCACACTTGGCTATGTTTCGAAGAATGTTATTTAGTAGCAATTTATGTGTAAAACGTGCTAGAAGATTTATGAAAGAAGTTGCTACCATGTAATACCAAGCTTGCTACTCTAAAAATAAACTAAAGTTTTTACATGGTATGCATGGATTTTTACCATGGGTATATCATAAATTTGTTATATAGTATTTATATAATGGTACTAACCTCTAAAGAGAGTAGCGGATAAAAAGAAGACAAGTTGCAACCTGAAGAGGCAAATTAATAAAAATAAATATTGCATAAGCTGTCAATTAGGGGGGCAAGTTATTATAAAAACACATTATAGAAAAAGTCAGGAAACATGACTTGTTGCCAACTAAAGGCTTTTATTAAAGAACGAGGGTAGCAGCAAAAAAAAAAAAAGGGAAGTTACAATTAATATGTAGTATCTAGGAATACATTCAAACCGGGTGACTGGAAACTGAAACTAAAAAAACATTAAAAAAAACTTGACTGAAAACTGAAACCAAAAAAAAACTGAAAAATAGACAGAAAACTGAATTTTTTTTTTGAAAAACAGAAACTATAAAAAAGAAAAAATATGACCGCAGCTGGACAGCGTACATGGGCCTGGCCGCGTGCGGCAGGGGTCGCTCGTTCCCACCCGAGCGCGACCCCGCGCGCGTTATGTTTTGCGTATCTGAAGGCAAAACAGGAGACAGACCGACGAGCCCGTACGGTAGTGAAGAAACGGCCCAAAAACAGTTGCGCAGGGAGGAGAAGTGACGCGCTAGCTATGGAAATCATGCGGCCCAAATGGCCTTGCAGTGCAGCGGCTAGCGCGATGCATCATGTGCATGTGTGATGTGGGGAACATATGACATAGCATGATAGTATTGACATTAGTACGTTCTTTAGACAATAGAAAAATCCAGCTCCAAACTTTTCCAGAGAATATATATAAATGGTCATCTGCGCAATACAAAAAAATAAAATGCCAACTATTGGACACGGAAGAAAAACATGACTCTTAACTTCGACGTTTTGCACCAATTTATCATGCACTCCTTGATCCTTGTTATCATCCAAAAGCGCCAGCTACATCGGTGCTCATGATCTGAGCCAGTGAATGCCCAATAACTCAATAAGTACAAAGCTAGCTTATTAATAGTGACATGAATACGCGTGACATGCTTGTTTTTTCTTGTGAACGTACTGTAGCTAGATATTGTTGCTGAGAACGAATGACCTTTTAAAATGAAATATGCTTGCTCATATTGTGCCCACCAGTACTTTCCAATTATTCTGATTTATCTTTCAAAAGAAAAAGGAAAGTGTCACTACGTAAAAAACAGTTTGTAGCAACGGGCCCTTTTTTAGAGGCGGCTGGCATTGGAGCCGCCCCTACGGTGACGTACTCGGGCTCCAGCACAGCAGCCGCCCCTACAAATAGCACAGTAGGGGCGGCTATTAATACGAGCCGCCCCTATAAATGAGTCGATTTGTAGGGACGGATTTGTAGAGGCGGCTGAATCTATATATAGCAGCCACCTCCAGCTCGAGAGAAAAAAAATTCCAACCCTAACTCCCTCAGCGCATCCACATCCACCTCTCCCTCTCCCTCCTCTCTCTCGGCAGCGGCTCCCTCTCTCTCTTGTCTCCTCTCTCCTCCCTCCCTCTTCTCTTAGCGGCTCCCGGCTCCGCTCCCAGATCCCGCCGCGCGCGCGAGCGAGCCCCGAGGAGTGACCATGGAGGAGCCCACAGAGACCAGGCCAGCCGGTGCGAAGGATCTTGCGAACGGCGCACGAGAACCGGAGGGGCCTCCGCCGGAGGTTGAGGAGGAGGAAGTGGAGGAGGAGGCGAAGGCGGTGCTGGGGTCCCGTCCGTTCACCATGCGGGAGCTCCTCGGCGAGCTCAAGGAGGACGGCGAGACGGCGGCCGGCGGTAGTAGCGCGAGATCTGCGTTCGGCGATGGGAACGGGGTCGGATCCACTGATGCCGAGGGCTCGTCCTATAGGTTTGTGCTTATTCGCGTCATTTAGATCTCACTCCATGTACTAGATCACTGTGGCTTGGTTAGGTTTGTGGCATGACCGGATCGCGTCGCCTTCTCCACGCTCTCCCTCGTCGCCGCGGGCGCGGTCTGCCTCACCACCGACAACCTCGAGGAGACGCTGCAGCGGTCAAGGGACTCCCCTCTACATCAGTTTGCTTGTGTCAGGTAGTTTAGTTAATGTATTACAGCATGTTGTTTGGAAGCAAAGATGGCTTAATCTTGGTTTATATATGCTTATTTCATTTATTTCAGCCTGTTGTTTATTTTCTTGTTTGACTGATTTGGGTATGTTGTTTGTTTTCTTGTTTGATTGGGTTGAGTATAAACAAATTGACCAAGGACTGAAGGGAGGAGAGCAACTTCCCCCAATCTGCAGGATGGTGATGCCATATTCCATCTGCTCACAACGAATGCCTATTTGTTTCCATAAACATTCATATCAGGTCCGGTTGGTTTTGATCTACTTTGAATTTGGTATTGCTTTGCAGGAAGAAATAGTGAAATGTGCCTAATTCTTCTGCTTTTTTTCTCTCATAAATGGTACATAATATTTGTAGTAGGACACTAAATACACATACATATCACAATGGATCTAATACCTTTTGTCCTTATTATAGGTCAGGGATCTTTTATCTTTTATATTTAAAATGGCTGTTCATGGCGCCCTTAGAGGCTTATTATTATTAGTTGCTGCCAAATGAGGAATTAGTTTATATTATTGTTTTCTCAACAGTAAACAAGGATGAGCTTTAGTTTCTTCCTGTAAAAAAGGGAAATTCAAACAAAATGCCTGTCATTTTCCGCTTTGATTCGGATCGTCTTCTCCGTATGCTCTAATCTGTTGTCCTCTCTTTTTTTCTGAAAATGATGTCGCCGCTGTAGTTAATCCATAGGCTAGGGTTGCCTCTCACCGGCCTTCTGCCCTCCTATCTTCCTCTTCCTTCCTCTTCTGCAGCTCTTTACTCAGATTTGATCTAGGGTACGTGTCTGTAACGATACTTCTTTTAACCTTGTGTTCGCGAGTAACTTTTGTTCCTTTCATTCATAACATGCATACATGCCCTGCTTCATGTTTTTTCCTCGACGTGCACTCACATGTATAGGAAAGTAAGGAAAACAAAAAAAGGGACCAAACACACCCTTTTCTTTACCTTGTAGAATTCTCCCGCGTTTGCTGACAGGACCACTATATCATTAGAATTCTTTGCAGCCAAGCCAACTCAGGTTAATGGCTGTTTTTAGCCTAGTCTTATCTTTGTAATGCAGCTGTTCTGCCTGGGCTTTGTGACTTACATAACTTCCTATCTGAAAGAGTGGAATACTCAATGTATTTCTCAGGCATAGTCAGTGTACATATATAGGCTAGGTGGGGAGTCACGATAGACAGGCCCATGAGCCCAAATGCATTCCAACACCCCCCCACAGTCTAAACTGGGAGCACCGCGAACATTGAGACTGGACCTAAACTCTGTGAAGACGAACGTCGGCAAACCTTTGGTGAAGACATCGGCGTACTGAGACGTAGTGGGGACGTGCAGGACGTGAACTTCACCGAGGGCGACTCGTTCTCTGACGAAGTGCAGATCAATCTCAACATGCTTGGTTCGCTGATGCTGGACCGGGTTGGTGGAGAGGTAAACGGCACTGACATTGTCACAATATACCACAGTGGCGCGGCGAAGAGGGTGGTAAAGCTCTTGCAGAAGTTGCCGCAACCAGCAGGCTTCAGCAACACCATTGGCCACAGCCCGATACTCCGCCTCAGCACTAGACCTAGACACCGTTGGCTGACGTTTGGATGACCAGGAGATGAGATTGTCTGCGAGGGTAGGGCACGACGCGAGGGCGCGCGTGCGGGGTTAGGAGGCCGGCGAGCGGATGGTGCCCAGCGACGGCGTGGAGCTGGCCGGCGGAGGCGGCTAGGGTTTAGGTGTGCGGAAGTGGAGGGTACGGATCGTAACCTCGTCTGATACCATGAAAGAGTGGAATACTCAATGTATTTCTCAGACATAGTCAGTGTACATATATAAGCTAGGTGGGGAGTCACGATAGACAGGCCCACGAGCCCAATTACATTCCAACACTATCTATATTTACACCAGTTTATCATTGGAGTTGTTTACAAGCAATGCAGATTACTATCTGTTTTTACAGTGAACGTATCTACCTTTTCCCTCTATTTTGTATTGTTGTTTAAATATATAAGCTGACATACTATTGGTTCTGTGACTTCCTAACTTTCATTGATTAAACATGTTACTTTTAAGGTTTTCATTTGTGATTTATACTACAGTTATTTGTTTACTTTATTAGGTATCCTGCACACCGTTCCTCCTGCTTGCGTATTTCCCGCGCCTAAAATGTACATGGTTAGCAGAAACATGCTCAATTAGGTACATCTCTTGTGCAATACGTTCTGCGTGTGTGGTTTGCTCGGCTACTCTGAGGTACTTGTGAGGAGGGGATCAGGCTTGTGGATTTGGCTTGCTTCTCTGTGGCTCGTGTGTTTTGGAGCCCAGATCTATTGCCCAAAATGGATGGAGATGTTGCTTCACCTATTATTGTTTGTGATGGCTCTGTGTAATCAAATAATCTGCTCTGCGATATTATTGTGTTCTATCCATGTTGATGTATGTATACATATGAATGTTAGTTGCTTTAGCTGATCCAGTTTTGTATGTGTGTGTGTGTTGTTCTGTTGCAGATTGCTAGGCATCGACCAACAAAAGTAATCTATAATGAACTAGTTGCTTCCTCCCCTTTGGCCGCTCTTCGAAGTGACATCACTGCAGGTACACTGAAGTGACATCACTGCAGGTACACTGTTTATTTTTGCAATAGAGGAACCAATCACAGGTTTGTGATGGCTAAGTTTTTGCATTCTGCTATATTCTGTGTGCAATGCAGCTACTGTTTATTTTTCTAGCTGTAGCATCACTTGAAATCTTGGGAGTCAATCTTGGCAAGAACAAGACCAGTGAAGATGCTGCTGCTGACTATGTGCAAGGGGTTCATACATTGTCACAATATGCTGATTACTTGGTACCCGTCCTTTGCACATACTAATTTCACACTATAGTTTTGCTATTTCCGGTTTCTTATGAGCTGTAGGTTCAGATAAATTCTGTTGTTAGAACCAGAAATTTTGCATTTATTCATTTTATGCATTCTCATTTAGTTTTGCCTGGCAAACAGAGAAACAGAATGTCTGAACATTTTCTTTTTCAACTTGATATTGATGTCATTGGTCGAACAGTCACAGGTGCATGATTTATTAGACAAGTAATGCTACTTAAGTACACTTTGGTCAGGTTATTGTGTCTCAAAGCATGAAATATTGGAAGTTTGATGGATTTTCTTGGTGGACTTAATGTTTGGACCTTGTTTAATTATGAGGCATGTTTCCACTCTTAATGAAGGTCATAAATATTTCTTCCCCAAATACTCCTGGTCTTCGCAAATTACAAGGTAGAAAGCAACTGAAAGATCTTGTGAAGAAGGTGGGTAGTTGTTTTAAGTGAAGTGTCTTCGCTACACGTTAGCATGGGAAATCTGTATGGCTCACACTGGATGTGCAGGTGCAAGCTGCACGAGATGAGATGCAGTGGGCTGAAGATGGACCTCCACCATTGCTTGTGAAGATTGCACCAGACTTGTCTAGGCAGGATCTTGAGGATATTGCTGCGGTGACATATTGAACTTAGCCTTGTTCTACAAACTTGTACATCATATAATTGAGAATCTTATGCCTTTTCTCAATGTATTCCAGGTTGCTCTTGCACTTAGGTTGGATGGCCTGGTAGGTTAACAATCCTCCCACAACTAATTTCGCCATAGCACTGACTAGCATAATCTTGTGTAACTTTCATGCCTATTTGTGCTTGTCTCATATAAATACTGTGCTAATCCTGCTCATTATTTTATCGATGTTGACCAAACAGATTATATCAAAAACCACTGTTTCCTGGCCACCACCTGCAGATAAAGATCCATTGGCTCTGGAGACTGGTGGATTAAGTGGGAAACCTTTGTTTGACTTATCTGCTAACATTCTCAGGGAGATGTATATGCTTACACGGGTACGTATGTTACCCCTATTGCTTTCGTGAAAACTACATTTCCTTGCTTAAGCATCTTTGCACTGCTCAGCAGCTGTATTCTTTTAGTAAAATAGCTAGTTATTGGAGCCTTGTTCATGCACAACTGATGTGTATCTCTTGCAGGGCAAGATTCCCCTCATAGGCTGTGGTGGTGTGAGCAGGTAATGGGATTTATGTATACTTAACTGAATCTTTTGCACTTTCAATGCACATAATTTCAATCAATCTGTATACTTAATTACAGCGGTGAGGATGCATACAAGAAGATCCGGTCTGGAGCTACACTTGTTCAACTTTATACTGCTCTTGCATATGGTGGTCCAGCTCTTATACTACCTCTATTTTTTGTTTTGTTAGTACTTGAGTGCTTGCTTGGTCTTTTTTGATATAGATATATGTTTTGTTGTCATAATATGAGTCTGTTTGTTATTATTGTGATTCTTGTACTATAGAAGATGTTTAGAAACTTTTGGCTAAACAATCTTGTTTGGGCCACAATATTACAGTCAAGTTTGCCAGGATACTTGATCATGTATTTTACTCGTCACAGAATGATTTGGGAGAGCACGTGTTGGTAATTTGAAATTTTTTGACGGAAAATGCACTGTAGGGGCAGTTGGTGCTGTAGCCGCCCCTACAAATCGATTTGTAGGGGTGACTGATAACACTAGCCGCCTCCACAAATCGATTTGTAAGAACGATCTGGGAACCGCCCCTACAAATACATGATTTATAGAGACGGTTTGATAGGGACGGCTGATCAAGCCGCCTCTACGAACCATCGTCAGCCGCCGCTACATATGCTTTGTGTAGTAGTGTGTCGCCGTGTCGGTCTCTGCTTTTGACGAGCTGACTGATTGAAGAGGCAGCCAAGAAGGTGATGAAGCCGCACGGTGCCTCCGTGGCTCGATCACGACTCACCAGTTACGTTAGGTACATGCATGCATTAGTGTCACAAGTTGGCGCGTATGGCACATACTTTATACACTACTAGTACTAGTACTGGTTTTTCTTTTCTGTTGTGCAATGACGTACTAACGAGCATGGAAGAGGAGGAAGCTCGTGTGTCACACAACGGAGTGCGTGCTACCGCGGATCCTGACCGGCATGCGTGATTTGATCGATCTAAAGGCGACCTGGATCCGTCTTCACGTCTTTGAAGTAGCTGTGAAGTTTTCCTGTTATATATTGCTCCGATCCGGCCATGATCATAGCTACAGGCAGTAAGCCTCAAATTGGCTACGTTGCACTGCTAGCTTCGGTAGTTTAGCTGGCTATTACTACGTACCTACGTGCACACTAGCTGTGGAAATGCTTGTAAACCATTGTGTATACTAGCTAGTGCTGCTTTCAGTAAGTTGTGTGCCGGCTGGGATTACTAGCCACACCACACCACACCACTGCACACCACACTCCACACACATGCCTTTTGCTTGAAGCAACAGCTATCTGCACTGCACGAAGGGGGCAGCGGGATCTAATCCTCTTTTTGCTTCGCGTTAGCACAAACGAATCAGCTAGCACGCCATTCCTTTTCGGCCGAGGCCGAGCCAGCCGGAACGGATAGCTAGCGTCCTGTCCGCTTCACCTTTCGCTGAAGACAAGGATCGGAGATGAGAGGAACAACAAGGACGGCGCGCGCGGGGCCGGCCGCGCGAACGGACGCTGTACGCGCCACCAACTGCTGTCGACGTGCGTGCACGTACGTGTTGTCGCCGGTAACGATAAGGAACGGCAGGCGGGCCTTTTGTGCTTGTGCTTGACCAGGAGCGCGCTGGAGCGCGTTGCACTCGATCGGGCGCCCCACGCAGCTTTATGCAAAGCGATGCCACCGGTGTCAATCAGAGAGAGCTTTATGCAAACCCACGGCCGCCGCCGGCCAGCAGTGTCCGGGCGGTTTAAGCAACTCTCCGCACATGCTTCAAGGATTTCAGTTTTATTTAGGCCCTTTTGATTTGATTCCTTCGTTTTTTTACAATATAAAATTCCTGTAAAAATGAATGCGTTCTAATTCTAAGGACTTTTAACTCCAGGGAACGGGTGTGATGTTGTTTCAGCTGCACTTCTGCGAATTATTTTAAGGATGTCACTCTCCAGAGAAACAAATAAAAGATCACAATAGGGTAGGGTTATCTTTTCACTAAAATTTAAGTCCAAGACTGAATAAAGGAAAGTCGAACATGGATAACGACGCGACGGTGTGCATCCAATCCTCCGACGCAATGTAAGCTTCCAATACCATCATTAAATTTGGTTCAAAGAGCTAATAGATGAATGTGGCACCTGCAGTCCTGCATCATCATCAATTGTTGACACTCCCTGTTTTTCGTTGCCGATGAGCATCACTGCATGTCTGCATCAAGCATCTAGACGAATGAACTTCTTGCATTTCTACCAAGAGAAATCTGCAACCCGAGATGATGAGAGGAGGAATTCAACAAACCGGAGTATATGGGTTTCAACCAAATGAAAGGCAAATTCATTTGAGGCAAACCAATTTGTGTCGGCAGCTTGGGGAAAATTGGGATCCACAAATTTCAGTGTGCCCAAACTCTACGCTCGAGTTTGTTGTGCTACCTTTCTATATTTTTATAAAACTATGGTAATCGAATGGGAATTTCACCTATGCTTCTTTTCGCATTGCACTAGCTCCTTTTCAAAATTATGCAAAACTTCTAATTCTTGTCATCTTGTTTTAAAGTACATATAGATTTGGATCCATGGTCATTTCCAGTTTTATTATATTTGGTTTCATGAATTCCTTAATTCTCGTGTGTCATAATATTAAAATAGAAACAGATCAATGCATATAAAGTATGGGCGCAATTTTCATATACTATGTTTACTTGTAATATAAGATATGGTCACGTATATACGGTAAACCAATATGATTGTTTTCTAATATGTTGATATTTATAATAATATCAAATGTCTACAAAGTCCTCGATACAATGATTAAATGTTACAACTAGTCTATAAAATAGTAAATAAAATTGTGTGTTGAGAGAGCCTATTTCACTATTAGTTCCCAAGACTAGTGTTTTGAAAATAGAGATATAAAACATTTAAGAGGAACTCTACTAGATTAAGAAAATTCAATCCCTATATCTAAAGACAGCGCGCCTAAGAGTTTGACCATCAGAGCGGCCGTGCGTTCTCGCCCGCCCGACGCGGCCGGCCTACGAGTTTGACCACCCGGTGCGGCAACTTGGCGGTGCGGCCGTTCCCGCAAGCTTGGCTGCCCAGCGTGGCATGGGGCACAGCCGCGCGAGGCATGGCAACGGCACAATGGGGGCGGACCGCCCCGCATTGGGTGTGACAACACAGTGCCGGCGGCGCGGAGCTCGCCTGCAAAGCGTGGCATGGGGCACAGCCGGACGAGGCATGGCAGCGGCACAATGGGGCGGACCGCCCCGCATTGGGCGCGACAACACAGTGCCGGCAGCATGACGCCTATGCCGCTGGCTTTGTAATGTGGGCTTGAAACATCAATGGAGAAGAAGAAAGAAAAGGGGCCGAGAAAAATTACTACTTCTTGCCCTTTGTTTGAGAGGAGGGATGACTTTAACAGATTGAGAAAAGAAATTTAGGAAAAGAGAATATACTATAGTTGTGTTTTTAAATCTCAATTCCGTTTTTACAAAACGGAGAGACTAGCGTTCGGACGTCCGGACGCCCCGCCAAGGAAACAAAATTGCTATTAAGCGCTGTTGCCCGCCCGCCCGCATTTTTTCTCAGGCGCCCGCAAAAGCGTGGCATAAACCGAGGCATCTGCTTCACCTCATGCTCTGCGCCTATGCTGGCTAATCATGCATCTATGGATGCACTTCATGCTTTAACGATTGAGAAAAGAAATTTGAAAAGAGCCCATGGGATTCAGCTTTGTGCTCGCGCTTCTTTGCGCCTATAGAGATACAGCTTTGTGCTTCATCCATGGCCTCATTGCCGCACTTCACTTCGCAAGCGCGCACTTGGGACCTTTTTGTGCCAGCGCCCGAGGGGACCACCTTCGCCTACGCCCCCTTGTCGCGTCTGCTCACGAAACACTTGCAACATAGAGCATTTGCTGCAACATACGTCCAAAACGGATAAAACATTTATGACATATGTTTGCAACATATGTGTATGGACACTGCAACATATGCAACATACAGATAAAACACTAGCAACATACGTTTGAAACAGTTAAAACATACACTTGCAACATACATGTATAGCATGTACAACATACAGATAAAACGCTTACAACAGACGTCTGAAACAATTGAAACATTTGAAACATACACTTGCAACGTACATGCATAGTTATTGCAACATATGCAACACCAGATCTACTTTTGCAACGTCCAGATCAAACATATGCAACATACATCTGAAACGCATGAAACATACGGTTGCAACATGTGTTCATCTACTTGCGCCCCCAATGGACGCTGGTTGACGCGGTGCCTTGTGCCGGCACGGAGCTCGATGCCACGATGTAGAGGTTGGACCTCGGTTGTGTGTAGCGTGAGTCCGAGTAGGAGACGCGAGGTGCGGCGGAGCGCAGCGGGAGGCGTAAGCTGTGCGAGGCACGGACGACGTGAGACGAGAGCTGCGCCACGACACGAGGCACGAAGCACGGGTGGGGCACGCGAGGCACGAGGTCGCGGGCGTGCAAGGCACGAGGTGCGGGGGCAGCGTGTCCGTCAGCATTACCGTTTGCAAAAATGTAAGGAAAGGTGATATCTTTTTTCAATCTGAGACCGGAATAGCCAAAATAATTGGGGAGAGTGGAGAAGACGCAGAATAACAAAACTCCCTTTTTTATTATTTGTACAAAGTTTTCCAAAGGTGTACAAACTTTAAAGTCTTGTCACCTGTCAACTCGATCGACCACCAAAGTGCTCCTGTTCCCGTAATTATACAGTACTATATACTACTACTATATACAGTATTCATTCACTTGATGAGGTTGGTGATGGCGGTGCAGATATTAGCAATTCGCACGTTGTACGAGCTGTGCTGCGCCAGCGGCGACGGAACGGCGGCGGCCTTGGCGAGGGCGTCGTCGCACTGCCGCGCGAGGGACACGGCCTCCGCGACCTTCCCCTTTCCGGCGGCGTAGCGGCGGTTGTTGATCTCGTCGTCCACCTCGGCGAACGCGAACCCGACGGAGTCGTACAGCCTCCCGCACTTCTCCAGCGCCGCGCGCGTCGGGCCGTCCGCGCCGCGCGTCTTGGCGAGCAGGGCCTTGATGTCGTACACGGCGTTGTCGGCGTTGTTGACGCCCGTCAGCGCGGCCACCTTGGCGAGGCCCCAGGTGTCAGCGTCGGGGCTCTCGCGGTGCATGCCCAGCTCGGCCACGCAGAAGCCGTAGTCCACGCGCGCGTCGCTGTCCGCCGCC